TATTTGTTTTTTAATTAAATAAAAGTGATTCAATAAAGAGTAATATAAAATAATATAATAGTATTATTATAATAAATGACAAATATTATTATACAATATTTATTTTAGAATTATTTTAATATTAATAAAACAACACAACCATGAGATTTTGTAATTTGAGCAGAAGGAAATGGCAGTGTTTCAGAAGTTTATTAAAAAATAAAAATGAAAACAGAGAGAGAGCTGAAAACAGTAAATGGAATGTGGTGTCTTTTTAGTCCAGCTACAATATAGTATGATTACAGGTTCTGAATCTGAAATCCCAATCAATTTCTCCTTACAATCTCATGTATGTCCTCATATGTATTGTCTTCAGCATAATTAATTAGCTCTGATAAATACATTTGTGACAGGTCAGTTACGTGTGCCAGTGATGCATCATGCAGTAGTCATATCTGTCTTGATGATTTCTGTGCACCTCCTGTGTGAAGATGTCCACATTGAAATAAGGCTGAAACATAATATAAATATAAGATATAAAATATAAATATAAGAGGGATAACTAAAAAAAAAACATGTAAACAAACATTTTAAATGTTGCCTTAACAACCAACTGAAATGTATATGCACATTTCCAGTTTTAATGTGTGTGTATATATATATATATGTGTGTGTGTGTGTGTGTGTGTGTGTGTGTGTGTGTGTGGGTCATTCCGTGTCAACTCAACCAGAGGTCCCCAACATTTTTGATTTTGCTAATATATTCTTAAGAAAGATAGACATGTATAGTGATGAAAGCCAAAATATTAAATGTCGTGGATGAATATTTACTGAGTAAAACACTATTTTGTAGAGGGGGGTCAAAATGGCAATTTTCACCTGAGATTCAGAGCCAAATTACAGGGGGGTAAAATTGGCTTAAGAAAGATGGCAGCATCATAATGTTACTCTTACATAGAGAATGGTAGGTCTATTAGCAAAAGCTGTAGAATTTAGCAATCTTTATTGCATTATGTGCCAATGGTGACCATTCAAAAATGGGGAAAGAGCACTTTTCAAGTTTTTTCTCCAAAGTTTGCAGGCCTGCGACTCAGAAAGTATTAAAGATATCGTAATGCCCTTTTAGATATTGGGTCTTAACAAACTTCTCTTTTGGCATCTTCATTGTTAAGGCCCTATATGGTTCAGTTCCAGAGATAATGGAATTTCAATATCGATAAATTGTACACATTTTCAGTGGTCAAAAACCAAATGTGGGTCACTTTGCAAAAATATGATAATTATTTTCTTTTAAAGAGGAATGTCTGAAGAACAAATAATGTTGAAACTAGAGATATATCTCATTTCCTTCCGTCAATACAACTGCATTGAACATACCTGTCTGAGTGCCGTAAGTATTCTTTTTCCAAAGTTTGTGTGCCTATAACTCAAGCAGTATTAAAGATATCGCAATATAATTTTAGATTCTAGTTCTTAATTAACTTTTCTTTTGAATCTTTATTATCAAGGCCCTGTATCGTTCAGTCCCAGAGATATGGGGACCTCAATGAGGCCCCATATTCAGACTGTTGAATAAAATCTATTTTCAGTGGTTGAAAAACAAATTTTGGTCACTTTGTAACAAAAAACTAAAATTAAAATTGAATAATCAAAATATGAAAATAAAAGCTAATTCAAATTATTAATGAACAGTGTAATAATATATACTGTAAGTAATACTAAAACAACAGCAACACTGTTTCACATGAGCAGCGTAGGAATGTTGAAGCCTGACTGCACCAAGATGTGGGTCTGTGACATATGAACAGATCACATGGCATTTTATTTGCCTAAAAGTAAAAGTTTCTTCATGTTTAGCAAATGTTAGCAGGCACGGGTTACTAAAACATGGCATTTGACCATATTTTTGATAATTGCACAGCTGCAGATCAAATGCTAGCATTCCCATTTTGTTTGTTTCCATGTCATATTCTGGTTTGTGTGTCTCACAGTTGGTTTTGATTTTCTCTGTCTGTGTCTTAGAGCCCAGCATCAGTGCAGCTTCAGCTCAGGACAGACTTAAGCATGAGGTGGAGGAGCTGGAGCGGAGGCTCAGTCTGCTGTCTCACAGCACAGGTAACTGCTCACCCGTCTCTGTCCCACCACTAATACATCCGTCTGGTTGGTGTATGTAATATTGCATGTTAAATGCAATTGAATGAAAATGTACTATAGTTTCAATTGATATTAAATGTGATTAGCTGAACTTTTTGCTGAGTGTTTTTGACTCACTTAAGTATGACTTAATTGCATCTTTATATGTGATTTCATAATTCATTCTGTTGTTTTTCAAATATGGTTAAAGTACTGCTGAAATGTACTGACAAGCATTTATGATAAACTAAAACATACTTTAATGTGAAATTTCCATTTCATGTAATTAAATACATTTGTAATTACATATATTTAATAGTTAAGTTGCAATTTATTGCATTTAAATTATAGTAACTTTAAACATAATATCGAATAACACACTGCAGTTAAAATGATAATCAAGTACTTTACATGCGCTTTAGTATGTTAGTAAACACATCAAAACAGTGT